AAAGACCGGGAGCATTGAGTGCTGGGACCTGGGACGTGTATATATATATATATATATATATATATATATATATATATATATATATATATATATATATATATATATGTATATATGTATATATGTAACAAAATACACTTAGAATGACATTCTATATCTAGCTATCTATCTATATATAAAATACAAATAAACGCAAATATATATATATATACAGATAAATATATATATAATTACATAAATAACTACATAAGTGCACACGTAGACTTTAAATACATATATATGTATATATATATATATATATATATTAAAATTCTACGAATGCTAACTTTGGCCAGTGTTTGTGACTAAGTGGCTACTACAAAAGACTGGACATACGCCACTTGCAATACCTTGGGTAGTCTACTTTTGCAAATGGTATGCCATCAATGGGGTAAATCTCATTCCAGGGCTACCACACGGTCTCAAAGTTAACATTACTAATCTGGCAAATTTCAATTTGAAAAAACTGAAAAATGGAATGTGCTATATTTGACCCTTTAACTTTCCAAAACACTGTGAAAACTGTTAATGGGGGCTACTGTTGTACTGGTGAGACTTTGCTGAATGTGCTTGTTTTGCAGTAAAAGCTAACAGTATTATGACATTTACAGCTAAAATGTGAGGCTGAACTACACATTTTTTAAATTTCTCACAGTTTTTTTGATTTTATTCATAACAAATTATGATTCATATATAAATATTTGATATAAAACGAAAGCCCTGTTTCTCCTGAACAAACTGATATATAATAAGTGTGGGTGCACTTAATATGAAAGAGGTGAATTACGGTTGAACAGACATTTAGCACAAATTCCAGGTTTTGTTTTCATTTAGTTTTGATCAGAACATGTACTATTGACTCCGTCCTGAAGGGGTTAAAAAAAAAAGTCAGCAGACAATTAGTGACAGCTGCTGCAAGTTACTGAACAATTTGGCTATGTAAATAGGTACTTGTTACTTCAACCAAACAACTGTTCAGATATGCAGGAAAGCCACTTACATTAACCCCTGATATACCATATATTAAAGCAGCTATTTAAAGAGATCTCACTTACAAATAAACCTGAAGGCCACCTATATTAACTTTTAATATACCATATATTACAGCAGCTATTTAAAGAGACCTAAGTTACAAAAAAAACTGAAGGCCACTTATATTAACCCCCTACATTACAACAACTTTTAAAAGCCTTGCCTTGACCTCTCTCACATGTTCTCTGATTCTTGCTTTCAAAGAACTGGCTTTTTGACCAACATAATGAATGTTTAATTGAATAGCAATATGTATTATAAATATGTATATATAATATCATAACTTATTTTATAGCTGAAGAAGCAAAAATCATCTAGCACCAGATTAACACTTGCCATTATCATTTTCAATTAAATTCTTCAAGCTAGAGTCATTGGCTCTTAGATGTTTTTACAGTTAATTCCTTCACATGAAACCGAGAACTATAAGAAGTCATTAACACATATGAAGAATTATGAGCTTGCACGTGAAAACATCCCAGCTCATATTTCTCTTATTATCACAGATGAACTTTTTTTCTATTACACTGTGAAGCTCTTAAAAAGGATTTGGCATTTATTGATTCTGAGTATACTGTCTCAAGAAATCTCTCCTTTAGAGCACTCAATGTCTTAATTAAACAAAGCATCAAGTCACGATAAGCAATTTTTTCATTCATGATGACATAAAATAAACTTGAAATTCAGATCATTGTCATGCATAAGAATATATGCAGTCAAAAACTGGTCCTATCTGTATCTAGGTTCTATTAAAGTACAGTTTCAGAGTAGCAGCAGAGTTCTCAGCAAGAAACAAAGAATGAAAATGAGCAAAAGAGCAAATAGTTATTTGCAGGTAACAGGATATCATTCAAAGGTAAGATAAATGAGGTGCTATGGTAAAAACCGCGCTTTCAGAATGAGTAAATACTGTCCAATGTATTTAAGTTATATACAGTGGTATAAAACATCATACCATACATACTTGAATCAGTGTTCTTATAGATATGAAGTTGCTGTTATGGGAAGAAATCTCTCCGGACCCCATACCAGACCTTGGATTGAGGTACGGTGATGAAAAATCTACTGTATTTACTGTATGGTAAGACTTAATATCCACACATTTTCATACAAACATGTGGGTCATCTGCAATAAAAAGAACACAAGTTAAATCAAACTATAATTTTTTTAAGGAGATAAATTATAACAATCTGAAATTAGCGCACACTTTGAATATTCCAAATTCCTTTTTATAGAAATTAAAACGTAGTAAACTTATTCAGACCTTGCTCAATATAGTTGTGTAGGGCTTACCTTATGCAGAACCTAGGTCCATTTCCAGGTCCAATGCTATCCAGTATTATCTGCAAATATATATATAACAGTAGTCACAACATTTCAGAAAGGAAAAGGCAGAAACGAACATAATCTATTAAGTACTAGGCATGGCAGTAACCCACTGTAGACATGGACATAAAAACTAACAGGACTCACACATAAAGAAAGATATGCATGTTTCCAATCAACATAGTAAGGTATCTACTGATTAAGCGTAAAGGGACGCTTTAGTCACCAGAACCACTACAGCTTATTGAATTTGTTCTGGTAAGTAGAATCATTACCTTCAGGCTTTTTGCTGTAAACACTGTCTTTTCAGTGAAAATGCAGTGTTTACATTACAGCCTAGTGATAACTTCACTGGCCACTCATTAGATAGCTGTTAGAGATCCTTCCTGGGTCATGGCTGCCTAGAATGCATCCAAACATTCAGTGTCTCCACCCTCTGCATGCAGATGTTCTATCAATTTCCCCTAGCTCGTGAAAATCCCCTACCCTCGTCACTTCCGGTGAGGGGAATCAGCTGGATCCTGGGCTGCACATGTGTGCTAGCACTCCTGCTACTCCTCCACAGCAAGGTCCTGGAAGGTAAATAAAACTAGTTTTACACTTTCATTATAGTTAGTGCATTCACTAAGCTTAGGCACACGGGACATTTAGGGTTAAGTGAGGGTTCAAATTGTAAAACTAGCTTTAATTACCTTCCAGGACCTTGCTGTGGAGGAGTAGCAGGCTACATGTATATTATGATGATATGAATCTTGAACCCTTTTTGTAAGTTAGTAGTTACATCATATGGACACACAGGTCCCTAGTTTATACTAAGTGACCCATAGGTTGAGGAGGCGGTGACCGTGGTGGTGTAGGTGGAAGCGGAGGTGGAGGAGGAGGAGGGAGCCAACACTGTTTTTTTTTATTTTAATTGGGGTAGCCCCCAAAATATTGGGACACATAAAAAAATAAACATTCGCGGCCTGCGGTGCATTTCTTGCAGTCCATGAACGCCATCAGGTTTGTAAAACTGTCCGTCTCCACCAGACGGAATGACAGCATTTCAAAGGCCAGGAATTTTGAAACGCTGGCATTCAGGGCCAGGGATCGTGGGTGAGTAGGAGGGTACTTCCTCTTTCTCTCCAGTGTTTGGGAGATGGACAGCTGAACGCTTCCATGGGACAGTGTGGAGATGCTTGGGACGGTGGTGGACGTGGTGGCGTTGCTGCCACATCCTCTGTTTGCGGGATGGCAGGTGCCACTGTCACTCCAGAGTTGGAGGAAGAGGCCGAGACAGGAGAGGAAGCAGGAGGAGCCTGAGACCTTTTTTGGTTTTTGAGGTGCTTACAGCACTGCAGCTCGTGCTTTGCATGTAGATGCCTGGTCATGCAGGTTGTGCTCAGGTTTAGAACGTTTATGCCTCGCTTTAGGCTCTGATTGCACAGCGTGCAAACCACTCGTGTCTTGTCGTCAGCACATTGTCTGAAGAACTACCACCCCAGGGAATTCCTTGGAGCTGGCTTTGGTGTGCTCAGTCCCTGGGTGTGGTGGGCACTAGCAGGCGTACTGTCTGGGGGACGGCTGCTCCGCTTTTGCACCCTGCTCTAGGAGGAGGAGGTGGATGTGGAGTAGGAGGTTGAGGAGGCGGTGACCGTGGCCGTGTAGGTGGAAGCATCGGTGGAGGCGGAGGAGGTAGCCAACACTGTTTTAAAAAAAAAAAATGTATTTATTTTAATTGGGGTAGCTGCCAAAATATTGGGACATATAAAAAAAGAAACATTTGTGGCCTGCGGTGCATTTCTTGCAGTCCAAATATGCCATAAGGTTTTTAAAACTGTCCGTCTCCACTAGACGGAATGACAGCATTTCAAAGGCCAGGAATTTTAAAATGCTGGCATTCAGGGCCAGGGATCGCGGGTGGGTAGGGGGGGTACTTCCTCTTTCTCTCCAGTGTTTGGGAGATGGGACAGTGTGGAGATGCTGGACAATTGTGTACCAGGCCTATGATGTTGCAGGTGCACACCCTCCGAGCCACTTGTGAATGACTGGCCTGATAACCGTGGAAATGACTCCTCTTCCTCCTGTGCCACATCCTCTTCCATCATTGCCCAAAGCTTTTTTCAAGGAGACATAGAAGCAGGATAGTTAGGCTGAGAACAGCGTCATCGGCACTGGCCATGTTGGTGAAGTCCTCGAAACAGCGCAACATGGCACACAGGTCTCGCATGGAGGCCCATTCATTGGTGGTTAAGTGGTGCTGTTCCGTAGAGCGACTGACCCGTGCGTGCTGCAGCTGAAACCCCGCTATTGCCTGCTGCTACTCGCACAGTCTCTCCAGCATGTGCAAGGTGGAGTTCCACCTTGTGGGCACGTCGCATATGAGGCGGTGAGCGGGAAGTCCGAAGTTATGCTGCAGCGCAGACAGGCGAGCAGCAGCAGGGTGAGAAAGCCAAAAGCGTGCACAGACGGCCCGCACTTTCTGCAGCAGCTCTGATATATCTGGGTATACACCGTGGCGGTGTAGGTGGAAGCGGCGGCGGCGGTGGAGGGGGAGGAGGTAGCCAACACTGTTTTGTTTTTTTTAATTGGGGTAGCCCCCAAAATATTGGGACATATAAAAAAGAAAACAAAGAATAAGTGCACTTGAGTATAACAATGGCTGGGTGAGGCCGGTATAAATGTCTATTCTGCACAAGGTACAGACAAGTCTGGTGAGATCCATGCCTGGTTAATTTTAACCCCTTAAGGACACATGATGGAAATATTCAGTCATGATTCCCTTTTATTCCAGAAGTTGTGTCCTTAAGAGGTTAGTAAACGTTGGCCGTGGACAGGCAGCTGTGCTTGTCTGTGATAACCACGTGCCGATCGCACGTCCCCGTGACGGCGACATCGCATTCGGATGTCTACCCTATCAACTTTCAATGCTATTTTCCAAACCTACCATGGTGACAACGGGTAATGGGGAATCAGGATTCGATTCCAGAGAGGAAGTCTGAGAAATGGCTACAACATGCAAGGAAGGAAGCAGGCGCGCAAATTACCCACTCCCGATGCGGGGAGGTAGTGACGACAAATAACAATACACTACTCATTCGAGGCCCTGTAATTGTAATGAGTCCACTTTAAATCCTTTAACTTGGATTAATTGGAGGGCAAGTCTGGTGCAGAGCGACTGACCCGTGCGTGCTATAGCTGAAACTCCACTATCGCCTACTGTTGCTTGCTGACGCTGTATCAGGGTCCCGGTATGTGGCCGCACAAACGCTTGTGCTCAACACTAGGGGGGTGCGGTTACCCTGCATCAGACCCTGCTAATCCATTCCACACTGTGACTCCTAACTTCAACATCAGGCATCAGGGTCCTGGTCATCCGACCGCCGCCCAGACAGTGTCTGGGTACCGGTCACCAGACTACCCCCTGACAGTGAAACTGTGAATAGCTTGTTAAAAATTGTTATGGTTACTTTTATCGCTCCATCTGTTACTTGAATAACTGTGGGAATTCTAAAGATAATACATGCCGACGAGCGCTAGGGGACGGCCACTCCGCTTTTGCACCCTACTCCTCTTATGCTGTGCTGGTGCCTCTGTGCGACCAGCACCTCTTCCTCCAAACTGCACATGTAACTTGCATGACATTCATTCCACGTTGTTTTGGTGTTTGGTTTTTAACTTTGTAGTTGTGTCTTTACACAATATAGAATATATGACGGTTCTATTTGACTCTCAGATATGAAGTGCAGGCACCAAATTGACTTTTTAGCACCTAACGAATTTGAATGTTAAAAACTGCAATGTAAGCACAGTATTTGACGGTTCTATTTGACTATTTGATTCTATCAGATATGAGGTGCACCGCATGCCGAAAATGTACTATTTAGGACCAAAAAGTTAGATTTTTTTAAACCAACAATGTAACAGTATTATTTAAGGGTTTTATTGGACTGCAAGAAATGCAGTACGCAAATGTACTATTTAGCACCCAAAAAATTGCAGTATTTAAAAATGCCTAGATGTTGCCCACTGAGCTACCAGAACAGGATTAAAGTAATGTGCCTGGCACACATGCAGTTGCAAGTGCACTGCACTCTCGGTGGCACTGGGCTCAGGGCAGGGTACAAACATGTAGTATTATAGCACCCACAAAAATAATCGCTGTAGTTTGAATAATCGCTGTAGTTTGCAGATTCAACACCAGAATTCTTTCCTAATCTGTCCCTCACAGCTGCAGCATCCTCTCCCTACACTAATAAGAGCTGATGAGCGTGCGGCGCTATGCGACTCCAGCTTATGTATAGAGGCTGGGCCACATGCTGCACTGTCCAATCACAGTCATGCCATTAGTAGGCATGGCTGTGATGGCTTCTAAAGGCACACGAGTCAAACGCTTGTTGATTGGCTGTCCTGCAGCCTTTCAAAACGCACCATTAAATCGCCGGACACCGAACTCCAACCTGAACATAATCTGATATGTCTGTGTTGGGTTCCGGGGTCCAAAAAACGTAATGTTCAGTACAAACCCGAACTCTACAGTCCGGGTTCGCTCAACTCTAAATGTGAGACATATCTTCTGGGGCATCTGTAATGAAAAAAGAACAGCTTCCACAATGTGTGAAAGGATGCCTTTCACATCAACTTTATAGTGATGCCTGATGAAAAATGACAAGGGAAGCAGAAGCTCATTTTGCTGTTTTTAAGCTTATATAAGGGAAAATATCTGCTGCTTTGTTTTACGTACATATTTTGGTTCCACTGAAATTTTACTGAAATCAATAAAGGCATTTTAGAAGTTTTCGTTTTATGGAATTTAGCAATTGAATAAAATACTAAAAATTTTACCTTTTGTTTATGAGATGCTTTGGTTTCTTTTACATTTATATTATAAGATTTTGCAAATTACATTATAATCCAGTTCAGACAAGGCAAAGAAAGGGCAAAAATTTACAGATTTTTACTATTAACATGACGTAAAGTCATTTTATTAATGACACGGAGGCAAGTATAATGCGGCACTCTTTCTTTATTTCCCTCAGCAGCAAAGAAAAACAACATTAAATAAGTATAAAAAGAAATCCGTAAATAACATGAGAGGTATATCTTCCTAGCAACAGGAACAGCCAATCAGCATCCTCTTCATAACATAATAGGTGGTGTCCAGTATAATACTTACTCTTTCTTGCGATCCCGAACAAGGACAACAAATCCAAATGAAAAGGGGGCTCCAATAAGAGGGTATGCGAGCCTTAACCTAGACACTGAAGTAAAGCTGGAAGAGAGATGAGAATATGGTAATATCAAGGTATAAAACTGGATTTATGCATAAAATCACATTACATGGAATATCAGATATATACATAACATGAAATTCAGTTTAGTCAGACCTTAAGCTCTTGACAGTCATTAACAAGGATAAAACCCAGTAATCAAAAAATACTTACTGTGAAGTCAACTTACCTAGAGAAGACCAAACTTTCAGGGATGGGAGGGAGGGATAATACTCGCCTCTGTGTCATTAATGGAGGCTTCTATTATGTGAATTTAAAGCTGTGAAATTATGTTTCCTGTGAAGTGTTGAAAAGGTCTAAAGTAGAAATTATGAAATGTAGACTCCTAAGACCAGACGCTCTCATAATAACCTCCAAGCGATAACCAATCGAGGAACCCTTAGAAGCCATAGCCTCACAAACCGAATGAGGCTCAAACACATAGCTATCAATAACTGACACAGACCTAATGTATTTGACTCACCAGGCTAGGGTAGAGGTAGACACCGGACAACGCTACTTTTGGAAGCAGATGAAGAGTTACTGTCTCAAAGGATTCCGTAATGTAGTGGGACAAAGTTCATACACCCATAAGCATGCAACAGGGCAAAGGGGAGATCTATCAGGGAAAGCTGGGTATAAAATGGTTTTAGAAGAGGTTTTTGTCCTCTGAGAAATGTCAAAGAGGACACCTTCTGGAGTAAAGGAACAAGAAACCACATCAAGAGCTCGTATGGAAGAAACCCTCTTGCAAGAAAAAAATTCAAGACAATAGAGACGTCCCACAAGACAGAGTATCATGATAAGGGTGGATGTGCAAAACAAATTCCTCAGAGAAGTTGACATATGACAGGATGTAAACCAACAGGCGCCCCATCAAAACTTTGATGACCAGCAGAAACAGACGATTGGTAAGGTTGGTAAGGTTCAAAGTGCAATAGGCTTTACCTTCATCATAAAGAGCAGTCAGAAAATAGAGGACAGACATAAAAGGAGCCGATATGGGATCCAAATTTAATTTCATGCACCAACTGTGCCATCTGCTCCAAGCAGATTTATAAGCCTGTCTCATGTCGGGTGCCCATGCGCCCTCTATAAGTTGATTGTGAAACTCCCTCGATTGATCAAGGTGCCCTGAAATCAACCACACCATGTGATGCAAGAGACTTTGGAGAACAAGGGGATGAGGCAGACCGTTTGGATCCTTAAGAAGGCACTCAAGAGGTGGAAGAAGATGTGGAAGGGTGACAGCTATCTCCTGAAGGGGAAAGAACCATGGTTGGGACGGCGATAGAGGAGCCATGATCATCAGGGTGTGGGATTGGCGACAAAGATGGAAAGTGCAAAGGGCGAAAAAGCATAATTCCTTGAAGAAGACCAATCTCGGGCGAAAGCATTCATAGCCAGTGCTGTCAGATCTGGTCTCCAACTGAAAAAATGGGGAAGTTGAGAAGGGATAAGGTCTATTTAAAATAGACCCCATAGGTTCCAGATGTCTTGGAAGACCATGGAATCTAAGTGCTAGTCTCTCAGGTGGCTTGAATACCAGTCTGTCATAGTGTTGGAGAGACTTTGAATGTATTCTGCCATGATTGAAATGGCGTACATCAGGCAAAATTGCCAGAAATCGTGAGCCATGTAAGTCAAAATGTTGTATTTTGTGCCTTCAAGTCATTGATGTAGCGTACAGCTGACACGTGGTGCATCTTCAGAAGGATAGCATTGGGCTTGAGTTGGGGAGAAACTGCGGACTGCAAACGAAACAGTCAGAAGTTCCAAACAACTGATGTGGAGTGTTGATTCCAGATCTGATCATCTGCCCCTGGTGGAAATATTTCCGCACTGAGCGTCCCAACTGTGAAAACTTGCATCGGATTTGATTATTTAAATCTGGAGCTGTACATAATATGGCATGTTAATTCCAAGCTTCCATGTGAAGAAGCCAAGATTGAGTCCAGAGTTACCATATCCGTGTACGATGCGCTGTCCTTGAGATGAAGCTTGTAACCAAGAGGACCTGGAAAAATGGCCTGTATAGAAGGCCTATCATTCTCGATTGTTTGAGAGAGAGTTGAGAAGCTGCTAGTGTACGCCTATCTCCTTCTTAATATTGGCTAATTTTGCCACTGGAAGGTGTGGAGTTTGAAGTGTAGAATCTACAATAACCCAATATAACTGAGAGATTTGATTTGTTGAGTGGGAACAATAATGGATTTCTCCCAATTGATCAGGAAGCCTGGGTTCTTTAACAGATTCAAAGTCCATTCAAGGTGGGTCCGGATTAATTGATTACACTGAGCCAGAGTGAAAAAGCTAAATATGAGACGTACTCCCTAACTCTGTAGCAGGGTGGCCAGAGGTTTCATGAACTTGGTGAAGCACCATGGAGCTGAAGAAAGTCCGAATAGGAGGCACCCGAACCTCAATTTCCTCCCCTGACATGTGAACTGCAAGAAGTTCTTGATCTTGATGGAATCTTGATGTTAAACTGCTATAGGCACTGTGAGATATGCATCCTGCAGATCCAGTTTGGCTATCTAATCTGCTGGTTAGAGAAGATCCCTTAAGCAATGCACTCCTTCCATCTTGAAAGTGCTGATATGCCTCATAACCATTGAGCTGTCTCAAATCTATCAATGGACAGACACCTTTGTCTTTTTTGGGAACCAAGAAAAGGTTGCTCATGTAACCCAGGGTATGGGCTCCGTGGCCTCGCCACGGGCTTTTGGAGGGGCCTGCTTGCCAGCCTCCTGCCAAAAAACTATGGGCCAAGTCAGCGACTGTAATTACCCATATTTTATTCCCCCTGGTTCTCCTGGTTCGGCACTTTTCATGGAAACCAAATGCTAGCTCACTGGTGGCCGTTTGCATGGACTAAAACCGGGAATAGACTTCAGGGGAACTTAGCATGAAAACTTTGCGGTTCCTGGTCAGTCCCCCA